TTCACTCACACTCAGCTGTGAGCAGTTAAGAGGAATAACACAATGAGGCAGAAGAGAAAGAGGCCAGGACCTACCCAAGCAGAGGTCCTCTGAGATCTCAGCGCTGAATTCAAAGGGCATAAGAGGGGGAAAGTTTGACTTCAAGGCATGAGACAAAGGGAACACTCTCACTCCACATGCCTTGCTTCATGGATGACAAAGCACAGAGCAGGAGGGGAAATGTCTGACCCTGGGTGGCATTTCATCACAGGCTCTGAAGTCCTGGCTCAGATGCTCCAGGGTAAGGCGGGAAACTTTGAGTTAGCAACTTATGAAAACAGCATAAGTTGATTCAGTAAGATTCAGCAAGAACCCGAGAAAAGGTGAGTAAAGAGAGTGCTAACCAGGATTGATAAGGACACAGGAAGCAAGGCCTTGCAAAAACTGCTAGTTATAATACAGTCTTGTCATTCTTCTGAAGAGTAATTTGGCAACATATCCATCAGCAGATCAAAGGGGGCTTCCCTGGCGGTCCAGTGGTTAAGACACTGGGCTCCCAATGCAGGGGGAAAGGTTCGATCCCTGGTGGAGGAAACTAACGTCTCACATGTTGTGTGGTGTGGCCAGAAAATACATAAATAAACGAGATGATATGAGAAGATTTAAGTACCTGAGCCATTTGACTTAGCATATATACCTATGGAGTGTCACTCAGGATGTTATTAGACAAGCATTCGAAGATGAAGCTACAAAGATGGTAACTGAAGCAATATTAATAGTATCAAAAAGATGAAACAACGTAAATGTCCAACAATAGGGAACTGGTGGAAACATTAATACTTTAAAATACTGGAGGGACTTCCCTGGTGGTCCAGTGGTTAGGATTCTGCGCTCCCACTGCAGGGGCCCTGGGGTCAATCCCTGTTTGGGGAACTAAGATCCTGTAAGCCATGCAGTGTGGCCAAAAAGAAAAAATTAATAAAATATTGGAATAATGCCAAAAAAGCCATTAAAAAGGACGTGTTCAGAAGGATATGGACAAACTGGAACCCTTGTGCACTGTTGGTGGGAACGTAAAATAGTGCCACTGCTGTGGAAAACGGTATCGTGGCCCCTCAAAAAATTAAACCAAGAATTACCATACAACCCAGCAATTCCACTTCTGGGTATATGCCCCAAAGAGTTGAAAGCAGGGTCTCAAGGAGATATTGTACCCCCAAGTCCATAGCAGCATTATTCACAATAGCTAAGACGTTGAAACAATCCAAGTGCCCATGAACGGATGAATGGAGAAGCAGAAAGGAATCTGATTCAGCCTTAGAAAGGAAGGGAATTCTGACACCTGTTACAACATGGATGAACCCTGAGGACTTATGCTGAGTGAAATAAGCCCGACCCAAAAGACATACACCGCATGATTCCACTTATGTGAGGTCCCAAGAGTCGTCAAATCCATAGAGACAGAAAGTAGAATGGTGGGGGCCAGGGGCTGGGGGAGGGGAAGAATAGGGAGGTTAGTGTTTAATGGCGACAGAGTTTCAGTTTCACAAGATGAAACGGTTCTGTGGACGCGTGGTGGTGAAGGCTGCACGACAATGTGAACGCACTTAACACCACTGAACTGCACGCTTAAAAATGGTTAAGGTGGTTAAGTGTTATGTTATTTTACCTCAGAAAGAAAAGAAAAATACCTAGTTTCTGGTGAAACTCTTCATCAAAACTTAGTTTTTGGTGAAACTTAGCAAGGAACTGTTAAACATTGTTGGCGGGAGGGCAAATGGTTAAAAATTTTCAGGAGGGCAACTTGTTCATAAAGGCAAATAATATATATTCTTCAAAAATGATCCTATATCTTTTTTAGTGCATAGCTGTGCTTTATTGGGGGGAAAGTAAATAATCCTTACAATGTCACATTTATTTTTATCTTAATAATACATGAACGTGGTCAACAGAAAAAGTCAAGATGCAGTGCTTATAAAGCAAACAGCATTCCTCTGCTCCATTTCTGCTCATCCCAGTGAACCTGCTTTCTAGATATAACCATTTTAACCATTTTAGCTCTTTCTTGGAGGAATTATGTCCAGTGTTCATACCCTTTTACTAAGGGATCCCCTGGTGAGAATCTACCCTAGAAATATTATCAGGTGTGGGCACAAAGACGTAGGTGCGGGGCGTCCGTCCCATTGGTATTCATATTGACAAGAAAAGTGGGAACGACATTTGTTAGGACTGTTTAAATAAATGATGCCCAAAATGTGCCATAAAAGGTGAAGCAGTCAGATATATTTAAATGACATGGCAAGAAACAGCCATCAATTATATACATTACAGAATAAAATGCGGATAGGGATTACCTCTGGACAGTGGCTGATATTAAAGACAAATTTTCCTTGTGTACTCGTCTTAATTTCAAAATTCTCTTTAATAAATATACATTTGCTTATAATCAGAAACAAAGAAAAAAAAAAAAAGACATGTTCAATCTACTAAGCTACCAGACACCCTGTAAAAACTCTTACCTGGATTTGTTGTCTCTGTCAGGGCTCTCACTTGGGCATGGAGACGTGCAACTCAGACTAGCTTAAGCAAAAAAAGAAAAGAGAAGAAAAGAAAGGAAAAGAAAAAGAAGGACTTGACTGGTTCCCGTAGCTGTGCCCCCGGGTGCGGACGACCTCCACCCCTCCTCTCTCTGCAGGCAGGTGGGCTGCACCCCAGCCTCCCCACCTGTGAGGGGCCAGGCCCTCCCACGTCCCCCAGATGATCCACAGCGGGAGGCAGGAGGGACCCAGGAGGGGAGGAAGGAGGCCTGGAAGGAGTCAGAATGTAAACAGGACGTGGGAATAAAGGTGATTCCTATTTTCTTTACGCTCTCCTGTGTTTCTTACGATGAGCACGTATTCCTTTTCCACGATTAGTAACCTCTTTATGAGCAGGTAGCGTGGACCAAACCCTGCTGCATGTGCTCCCAGCCCCCAGGAGGTGGGAACTCCTGCCACCTTCCTTCTAGAGGCAGGATGAGGTGGGGCAGAGGGGCTCAATCGGGAGAGGCCAAGCCACTTCCCTCCCGCCAAAATCAAGGCCCCAGACCCCAGATAGCTCCCCCTTCCCCTCACCTGGTCTGTGGTACGTCGCCTGGGAGGGACTCTGCTCTAGACTCAGGCCTCCAGGCTACTGGGCTCCCCACTGCAGCCAGCATGCGGCATACAGCTCCATCAGCGCAGATGCAAACCGCACCTCGGAACGCGCTGGGTGGGGCGGATGACCCTTGGGGAGAGAGACGCGGGGCCAGGCCCTGGCGGTGGCTTCCCGGGTGTCACAGCATCGGGACCAAGTCCCTGCTGTTTGGTTACAGTCTCCGAGGCCCGGCCCCTGGATCCCACACGGCAGGTGGCAAGGGCTCCCCGGCAAGTCAAGGGACAGTGACCTTGACCTCGGCCCGCCGCGGAGGCAGGGCAGCCAGCGGGGTCGCAGGACACAGGAGGCTTCCCGGCTCTTCCCTCCACCAGCTCTCACCTTGCCAAAGGCCGCTCTGGCCCCAGAAGGCCCTGCCGAGGCCCGGTGCACACCGGGCGCCCCCTCGCCCCGACTCCAGGGCCCCTCCAGCACGTCTGGCTCCGGGATCCCAGCCCCGGAGACTCACAGGCCGCGGCCACAGAAACCCTTCCAACACTGCAGGGGTAGGGAGAGCGGCCCCCAACAGCCAAGCCCTGACCTCAGGGTCCTGGCAACACCCTCCTTCAGAGGATGGACAGGAGCGCAGCGGAGACACCCGAGGGCGGGTGGGGGGAATCTCGGTGAGAGGCACGGGAGCGGTGAACACGAAGGAAAAGGGGCCAAGATCTTCCAACCGACGCCCACCCACGGGAGGAGCGCGGGAGGAGCCTCGGGCGAGGAGCAGGGCCTTCGGCGCAGACGCCACAGCGCTGGCACCAGGCCTCTCCCCTCCTCCCCGCGGGGACACGCGGAGTCCCCACCACAAGGCGTCTGCAGCTGGGGCTTTCTGGGCGTCACGAGTCCTCAAGGGGCCTTTTCCTCAATCCAGCTTTAGTGGAAAGACAATTCAGGTATGAAAGTAGAAAAATGGACAGACTCATCAGGCACGTTTCAGGGCGTGTCACGCGCGGTTATTGCAGTTCACGGGCAGGATGCAGCCCAGGGCACGGGCTCCGTGGCACCGGCCGGCTGTGCAGCGAGCGCTCGCCGTCTGGAGGGCAGCCCCTCCTTCTCGCTGGGGCTGGCGTTGATGCAGCCCGCAAGACCGGCACAAGGCCTGTCAGGCGCCTTTCTGATGCAAGTCGCTGACCTGCCTTAAGTGGACGTGAAAACGTGGCGCGGGGTGCTGACTTCAAGGCAGGGAAACCCTTAAATTCTCTCCCGTGTGCTTCACGTCCTGCGGGCTGCTTGGTTCACGCAGAGACGGCGTCGCCCTTGCATCCTGCACTCACGCTGTGTACCTCACCCCGCGCTCACCACCCAGCTCAGCAGCGCGGGGTGCGCGCCTCCTCCCTTCCGAACGACCGTATGGATTCCACCGGCCGCAGGTTCACTGAAGGCTCCCACGGTGTGGACCGGAGATGACTTGCACCGAGACACACTCGGCCCCAGAGAAGGACGGGGTTAACTCCCGCCCAGCCCCCAGTTTGCAGAGGAAACGTGGTCACACACTCTGGGTCTATACTGAAAAACCATGGATGTTAGTGGACAACCTCGGCATAAATCCCTCGGGAACAGACGGGGTTCACGGCAGGATAATCCACTGGTCCAAGGAGACTTGGAAAAAATTCCTAAATTTAATGCTACCACAGAAAGTCTCTCCAAACCACTCTTCCATGTTCAAAAGAAAATCATCTTTCCCTGTGACCGCGTCAAATGATGTGACAGCTCTAAGGATCAGAACGCGGGGACGTCCCTGGTGATCCAGCGGTTAAGATGACACCTTCCAATGCAGGGGACACAGGTGTGATCCCTGGTCAGGGAACTAGATCCCATACGCCACGGGGGAACTGAGCCTGCGTGCTGCAACTACTGAGCCACAACTAGAGAGAAGCCTGTGTGCCCCAACGAAAGATCCTGCGTGCCGCAGCTAAGACCCAATGCAGCCAAAAAAAAAAAGAATCAGAACACGTAAGGCAGAAATTGAAATGATGTGCACCGTTTTATGGTTGTTCTACAAGATGCTGATTTCTGAGTCTAGTGTGAAATTTTGCCGTGGACAGACGATCTCCTTTCGAGTGTTGTAAGCCATTTCTTCTTTTTGCATCAGAACAGTTTTCACAGCAATAACAAATATCACTGTGAGGATTCTTCTCGCTGGGCTCAAACTGTACCTTATGGCTGGCTTTCAAACTATGTAAATTATCTTATATAAGAGGCACTGAAAAAAGAAAGCTGAACAAAGAAAGTTTTACCTTGGTGAAATATTCCTTTTAACACATCACATTATAATGTGATAATAATAATAACAGAACGTGTGTCCCTTACCCCTCGAGTGAAGAGTCTGTGGAAGAAGCCTCTCTTCTGTCTGGGAGCTGGTTGATACGTCTTCTCTTCTGGATCTAATGCCACATTTCCCCTTTCATTGATGTCCTTGAAACATTCAGACTCGATCATCGGCACCCACAGAAGGTCAGGACAGAGGAGTGGTGGAGGCCCCGCGCGGCCGGTCGGCATCGCCCACCTGGCCCCCAGCCCAGCGCTCGGCGGCCACTCTGGCCCCCGTCCTCGGCTCCTACTTCCCCTGCTTCCTGACCTCCTCTTGGGGGAGGTCACGTGGCCGCCAACATGGCCCCCAAAGCAGTGAACTCCCATCCAGCCAGCCCTGCTCAGGGAGCAGGGCTCAGGGCGGCAGAAGCCCAGCAGACCCGAGAGGGCCACCTCTGTCCACCCCCCGTGAAGGGACCAGGGGCAGCTGCCACATATCATTTTACCTCCAAACATGCACACGTGCACACACACACAAATGGATGTGTATGTAAAATAGCTAAAAAGATATCTTAAAGAGGAAACTGTTCATTCTACACACATAAGGTTCTTTTTGGTCGTTGTAACTAGCTAGGCGGGCCGTGCTGCAACGGGCAGTACCTCGCTCTGCCAGGGGATGGCGACACAGCCCGTGACGAACTGGCTGTGGAAGGTGCAGTCGGTGCTGTCCAGGCGGATGCCCTTCACCGTGGAGAATCGCTCGACATCCAGGACGTCCCTGCAGTAAACCACCTGCGGCTGTCACAGAGCACAGAGAGGCGCGGCTGACACGGCCGCCGCTGCGTTTGTTTCCCTCGGCGGCGCTCAGGACGCCTGGGAAGCCGCCGCACGCACACCTGCACCCTCCTTTCCTCGCCATCCCTCCCGGCGTGGAGCACGTCCAATCCTCGCTCTAGGAACCCCCAGAGCCACAGGCCCCGCGGCCCATCTGCTCCAGCTCCCCACTCTCGCCCACAAGCCTCCCGAGGCCCCCCCTTCTCTTTCCTGCACGGAAATGGGCCACAGCAGAGGCTGCAGGTGGAGAAGGGCGGACGGGGTGCCCCTGCTGGGACACGGCAGAGGAAGCCTCCAGCCCTCGGCCTCCCTCGCGCAGGTGCCGTCCGCCTGCTTGGCCCCCGTCTGCGCTGGGCAGGCCCCCAGGCCCCCAGCCCCACCGGGCACTGGTGTCCTCGGGCGCAGAGTCAGGCCAGCAGGCAGGGTGTGTGGAGCCCGGGCCGCCGCCTCTGGAGCAGGGAAGCCAGGGCTCAGGGATGCGTGCTCTGAGCGCCCGAGCTTGTGCACGACAAAGAAGGAGCGTGCCGATCCCGGGCCCCTGGTCAGAACTTCTGAGAGCAGTGGGGAGGTGGGAGCCGCCGGTGGGGGGCCGGCCCTCAAGAGACGGTGCAGGGGACGCCCGAGCCCAGGCCAGAACCCCATCCTGCGCCCTTGCCAGGCTGCCTGACGCCGTCAGACGCTGCTGACAGCCGGCCCCCGGGCCGTCTGGTTAAATGCAGGAGAACCCCCGGAGCAGCCCCAGCGTCTCTGCCCCTCACTCCCCAGCCGGCGCCCTCCTCAGGGAAGGCTGCAGCCCGCGGCACACAGGGCCTGGTGGAAAGAAGGCTCTGAGAAGCCCCGGCTGGGTTTTCCTCATCTTGGAGCTGGTCCTCCCCGTGACTCTAGTACCTGGAGCAGGTGGGAGGGCGCTGCGAGAACGAACTAAAAGGGAGAAGCTGCTGCCACAACACATTCCACGTAAACACAATGAAGCCTGACTTGTACAACTGAAACTATTTTAACCGCATGTCTCAGCCCCATCATATCCTGCGGAATGATCGAATCTCCACGTTTCCATCACAGGCCTGCAGCAGCTCAAGGCCAAAGAGGGGGCTGCTCCGGCCCAGCGCCGACGTGCGCGGGGCCTGCTGGGCACTGGGGACGTGGCCTCGTGTGGCCCCGCCACGCGCTCACCAGGAGGCTCAAGCGGCCACTCCAGGGCCCTCAGTGTGCAGCCAGGACCTTGCGAGACCCAGCGTGGGGAAGCGCATTCCGGGCGGGGGAAGGGGCCGCGGGAACGTGGGGACCCTGGCGGGGCGCCCCGGGGAGGGTGTCGGGTGCTGCTGAGGTTTCTGAGCAGGGCAGTGACCTGGGTGGGCTCCACCAGCCAGGGCGGCAGTGGGCCAGGAGGGCCTGTGAGGACGGGCCAGGGGGCACTGGGGGCGGGACGGGTGGTCCTGAATCTACCTGGAAAACATCCGTTTTCTCAGACACCCCAACACCCCGCTGCTCTCTGGCAACACACTTACGTCAGGACGGAAAGGGGGGTCTGACACGTGGGCCTCCAGCCTCTTGAAGTTAATGTCCCTGAACACAGCGTGTCCCTTGACTTCAGCCACTCCTTCGCCCCTGCAGCCCAGGCGTTGCTTGGGATCCTTGGTGAGTAGCTGTGGACGAGTAAAAATGGAGTCAATGGAAGCTCCAAGGATAAAAGAGAAAACCCAGAAAAGCTCCATAATAAAAATGGCCAAAGAATTCAGGGTGGCAAAGAGCACCTCCATCTAAACAAAGTCACTCAAATTACAAAGTATCAACCAAACCCCGTTACTTCAGATTTTACTGATTTAGAATACGTAATGCTTCAAAAAGGAGTTGAAACTGAAGTTTTGCCTTTGAGCTATCAATAAATAAAGAGGTGCCTAAGAGGGCTTCCCTGGTGGCGCAGTGGTTGAGCGTCCGCCTGCCAATGCAGGGGACACGGGTTCGTGCCCCGGTCCGGGAAGATCCCACGTGCCGCGGAGCAGCTAGGCCCGTGAGCCATGGCCACTGAGCCTGCGCGTGAGAGGCCCGCGTACCGCAAAAAAAAAAAAAAAAAGAGGTGGCTAAGTAAATCCTTAAGAAAAGTTTACCCACGTAAAAATTAGGGGATTTTTTTCAAGAAATAGAAGCTCTTGGGAACTTCGCAGACACCACTTTCATGCCAAGTTATGTTGATTATTAGAAACTATTTTTAATCTATTAATTAAACAGATCACTAAGGACCTCAGATGAGGCGAAAATTTAGCAAACCTAGCTCTAAAAGTTGTATATTCTTAAAATTAATAGAAAGTGTTTCTTTCAAAAATATTCCTTACTTATACATTTAAACAGGCAGACCTCGGAGATACCGCAGGTTCGAGTCTAGACCACCAGAGTTAAGTGATTATTGCAATAAAGCAAGTCACATGAATTTTGTGGTTTCCCAGTGCATTATAAAAGTTACGTTTACACTCTACTGTAGTCTGTTAAGTACACAATAGCTTTGTGTGTAAAAAAATTCTACCTAATTAAAGAATAAAGCTGCTAGGAAAATAGTGGCAACAGACTTGCTCAACACAGGGCTGTCACAAACCTTCAATCTGTCAAAAACACGCTATTTGTGAAGCACAATAAAAATGAGGTACGCCCCTTATTGCCAAAAGTTCAGATAGGCCTTCTTCCACAATTAGCAGTCAAAGAGGTCCACCTCTGCTCAAAGCGACACAGGAAAGGTCTGGGCCTCCAAAACCTAGCCTAGGCCAGGGGCTGGGAAGCTGCAGCCCAGGGCTGTACCGCACTGGTGCCTGCTTCTGTAAATAGGGCTCTGTGGGAGCAGAGCTGGCCGTTAGCTCAGGGGTCTGTGGCTGTTTGCACTGCAATGGTGAGCTGAACAATGCGAGAGAGACCTGCAAAGCCCTAGTGACACCACCTGGTGCCTCACAGGAACGCTGGCTGACCCGTGGCCTCGACTCCCAGCCAGCACCCACGTGTGGCTCCCGGCTTGTGTGCGACGCCCCTGCACACACCTGCAGCCCCTGGGCCGGGCCCCGCCCGCTCGGCCGTTCCGCACACACACACCGAGGCCGTCTGGTCTCTCGGCCAGGCTGACTCCTACCAGACACCACCGATGGGAATACACCTGCGTAGTTGGCTCGCTGCCGGGCTTTCCTGCGGGACTCAAGCTTCTGCAGGCAGCTGCCGTGGGAACTCCAGCACCAAGCCAGGGCGGGGCTCAGTAAGACAGGCTTCCTTAATTAAGACCAGACCTGAACATTGTGTCAGGCCAGATGCAATGACCGCACCGCAGGGACTCCATGCCTCTGTCAAGCCTGCTGCCAACTCACGCAGTCCAGGGGCCTGACCGGGCAGCGCCAGGCAGCGGAAAGCACCTTGTGCCCGTGCTGCCTGCTGCCACTGACTACGGGACACCATGGAAATCAACTTTTAATTTTTCCACCGTGCAGCTCTGAGAATATCCTAGAAAGCCACTGTGGGGTTGAAATGAGAAAACAGAGAGCTCTGAAAATGACCCAGCGGTACCCGACGCCGGGTGTCACGACAGGGGCCCGGCAGGGACGGGCAGAGGCGGGCAGTCCCCTTCGCGTGCAGTCAGTGCTGGGCCACATCCCGGACCCCCAAGGTGCCCACGCTCCCTGCTCTGTGTCCTGTTCACATCGACCTTGCACCTGAGGTGGCCCCTCCTCCCCTCCAGGCCCTGTCTGTTGGAATTTCACAGACTCTCTAAGAACTAGCTGTTGCTCCACTCAGCAGTTACCAAGGATTCACGTGGGACTAAACACTTCACACGCACTCTTTCATTTTATCCTGCTGGCAATTCTATAAGGTAGAAGTTATCCACCGTCTGCATCTTCTAGATGAGAAACCCGAGACCCGGAGGGGTGAGCGCGTGGTGGTGGGAGGCTGGGCCTCGACCCCGGGCCCTGAGTCACAAGGCTGGGCTTCACGCAGACACCACCATCTTTCCCACGAACAGCACCCCTTCATCCTGAAAACCCTGAAGCCTTTGCTTCTATCTTGTACCCGTCAAGCTCTGCTTTTGACCCTAGTTTCTTTCGTGTTACTTTAGGCTTGCCATTCAACTGTGCGCTCCCGAGGGGCCGGCCCCACTTCTCACATCTGTGCGCTCCTGCAGCCCCATCAGACTGTCGCATGTCAGCAGACACTGGGTCAACATTTACCAGCTGAACAGCAAGAGCAGGGTGGCCAGGAGGCGGTTATGGAGGAGCTGACTGAACACCGTCAGCTCCAAGCAGGGTGAGCAGCCCGAGAAAGGCCACCAGCACACGTCCCTTCACACGTGGACACAAAAGGAGACGGACCCCTAGGTACTTCATCCCCAGCCAGTGTCAACTCCCGCAAGACACACCGGCTGACCCCAGCACCCACTGGGGGACCACGCCCCGTGCTCTGTGGCCGCAGTCCAGTGGCCTGGTCCTCCATCCCCCATCCTGCCACTCCCTCCCCACCCCGTCAGCCCTCCCCCCGCAGCGCGCGCCCCCGTGTGTCTAACTCCGGCAAGGAGCCCGCCTCCACCTGCCCCGTGTCCGCACTCTCCTCTGTGACCCGCTCAAACCCACAGTCGCTCCTCCAACCGCCCCTCTGCACCCACCCAGCCCCGCGGGCAGCCCCTCCCACCTCCCTGCCCAAGATGCCCGTCTCCCAGGCCGCCTCCCCTGAGCGGATGAGAGCACCGGGCTTGGGGGCAGAAGGGCTGGGATTACTGCCTGTTTTACTCAGTGCCGGGGAAGGTCCCATGGGGGACGCTCAGTACATTCTCGCTGGCTGCAGATGACGTTTAAAACGTGCTCAGAAAATCCTGAGAAGTTAAGCGACAAGGAGAGCTTCTCTCATCCCCTTACATCCAGGACGGCCTGGGACTGACAGTGCCAGGCGCACGGCAGGCCATCGGGGCAGGGTGTCGATAGGACCACAGTCCCTGGCGACCAGTTAAAGGGAGTTCTGAGGAACGTGGGCCAAGAGAAGAACCTCACCGCTGCAAAGCACCCCGAAGATTCTGTTTCATGTTTAGCGTCCTGTGAAGTTGGCCAGCTGTGCTCTAAACAGTGACCTGACACCACCCTTCCCTCTCAGCAGCACCTCTGGGGAAAGCAAACGATGAACTCTGTTCTGCGTGATCAGAACCCCCGAGGAAGGCCCTGTCCCTGGCACCGCAGAGCACCAGGTGGCCCCTCCTGAGCCTGAACGGCGGTCGGTCAGAAGCCTAGCCCCACTCCCGCCCTCCCCGAGCGCGACTTCTCGGAGTACCGCTCTGCCTCCTCCTTCCCTCTCCGCTCCACCTCCGCCCTATCGACCTTCTCTCGGAACTTTCTGAACGGAGACTGTCCCTGAATCATTTCGTATATCAGACAGCCAAGTCCCCACCAATCAGGACTGAATGTATACCTTTCATGATTGAGAACTGCGGGAGCTACATAACAAACACAGGAAATTTAAATTAAATTAAATTAAATGTCCTCATACTTAATTCCAAACAACACATTGTAAATTTAATGTCTGTTACCACGTGGACGACCCTCGCAAACATGTTAAGCCAAAGAAGGCAGACACAAAAGGCCAAAGAGCGCATGAGCCCACCCGTACGAAACAGTCAGAAGAGACGAGTCCACGGAGACAGGAAGCAGATTAGGGGCTGCAGGGCTGGGGGCGGGACGTGAGGAGTGGGGGGTGATCGCTGACGGGTGCGGGCCTTCTCTGAGGTGATGAAAAAGTTCTGAAACCAGACAGTGGTGATAGACGCACATCTCTGTGAACATGCCGAAATCCACTGAACTACACACTTCGGGCTGGTGGATTTTATGGCATATGAACTGCATCTCAGTAAAGCTGTTATTACAAACCATTCCTGCTACTCGTGGAGTAACTACCGCGGGGAAACCCCGCCTCCAAACAGGCAGAGCCAGGCCCCCGGGCGCCCCTTTTCCCTCAGAGTAAGACCCCAGCAGCAGGTGACAGCAGCCACAGTGGAATGGGGGGAGGGTAAGTGCGGGACTCAGCAGAGGCCCTCAGGGTCCCTCATGTCAGAGGCCCCCCTGCGTCAGGCTGGGTCACTGCCCTGGAGCTGCGCGCATAACTCTGACTACCTTGTGAGGGGTGTGCGGGGCCGGTGAGCACAGCGGGGAGGCCCGCTGCCCCGTCCCTACTCTGGCCCGTCAGCAGAGAGGAGCGCAGGCCGGGGGGCCAGGTATGCTCCCCAGCAGCGGGCCAGGGCGGACCCCAGGTCCCTTCCCGTGTTCAGTTCTCTGTGTCCTGAGGGCAGGGGCGTGAGCACCCCGGGGTGGTCCATTACGTAGCCATGTAGCTGAGCGTTCCGACTCTTCCTTGGATGGTCTCCCTTTCCGGGATCTCCACGGCTAAACCAAGATCTGAAATCCAGATGTGTCCTGCGTGTGGCCAAATACACGAGACAAACCACAGGGGGCGAGCTGACACTTTACCAATAAAGAATGGGAAAAAATCTAAAAGACACGGATGGAAATTATAGCAATTCATACTTGGAAACACTTAGATATAAAATTACATTTAGGGAGTTCCCTGGCAGTCCAGTGGTTAGGACTCCATGCTCTCACTGTCAAGGGCATGGGTTCAATCATAAATAAATAAATAAAAATAAAAAATACAAAAAATGAAATTACATTTAACTTTTGCGTTCAGTTCCACTACCCGCAGGAAATTAGATTTATGCCTGGATATTGATCAGGAAGCCCTTTAACCATAGACAACTACAGGATAAGATAGGAGCATTACGTTTGCTATTTTATTTCCACATAACTACCAGACACATAAATAAAACTATAATGGAGGGCTTCCCTGGTGGCCCAGTGGTTAAGAGTCCACCTGCCAATGCAGCGGACACAGGTTTGAGCCCTGGTCCGGGAAGATCCCACATGCCACGGAGCAACTAAGCCCATGTGCCACAACTACTGAGCCTGAGCTCTAGAGGTCACGAGCCACAACTACTGAGCCCGCATGCCACAACTACTGAAGTCCGTGTGCCTAGAGCCTGTGCACAACTACTGAAGCCACCGCAATGAGAAGCCCGCGCACTGCAACGAAGAGTAACCCCCTCTCACCGCAACTAGAGAAAGCCCATGCGCAGCAATGAAGACCCAACGCAGCCAAAAATAAATAAATTAATTAATTAAAAAAAACCTATAATGGATACTATACCAACTATGAAACAGCAAATAAACACTCCCTGTCGGAATACCAAGAGGCTTATACACAGGGACAACAACAGACAAATAATACAGAGTTTTTCTCTAAAGAACAAATGGTAATAGGGTCAAGGAAATAATAAAAAACTATGTTATGGGGCTTCCCCCGTGGCGCAGTGGTTGAGAGTCTGCCTGCCGATGCAGGGGACACGGGTTCGTGTCTGTGAGTCTGTTTCTGTTTTGTAGATAGGTTCATTTGTGCCAGATTTTTTTTTAATTAATTAATTTTTTTTTTTGTGGTACGCGGGCCTCTCACTGTTGTGGCCTCTCCCGTTGCGGAGCACAGGCTCCGGACGCGCAGGCTCAACGGCCACAGCTCACGGGCCCAGCCGCTCCGCGGCATGTGGGATCTTCCCGGACCAGGGCACGAACCCATGTCCCCTGCATCGGCAGGCTGACTCTCAACCACTGCGCCACCAGGGAGGCCCGAGTTGAGAGTTTTTAACTCTTTCCTCCCGAACTCAAAGGTTCAGAAATGTTCCTGGTTTCCACTGAGGTAGCAGATGAAGCATAGGTCTGCCAACCTTCTTACCCAGCTTCCTACTGAAAGGAACAAAGACAAAATCACAACAAAAAGAATGAAACGTGATCTGGAAAAAGAATACAGGGCACCCTCAAGAGTGAGAAATTTGAGGATTACCTGGAAGAGAGAAAGCCTATGGGGCTGGATTGTTAAAGGAACCACCAGCTGAATCTGCAGAGATAAGCAGGTTGCCCGGGTGTCTGGGTCCCAGAAGCCCCTTCCAGGCCTGGACACAACTGCCGACCAAGGGACTTCTTCAGGCTGAAGCCACTTGGCAGAAAGTTGGGACCCCAGGGGTGAGGCAGAGCACAGCTGAAGAACTACACACTCTACTGGCAAAGTGGAGCCATGCTGTCTGTGGCCGCTGGAACACAGGCCCTGTCTGGACGGCACCCCGCTGACGCACCCGCCTTCCAGAACACCATTCAAGAGAGGGGTACAACCACAGAGGAAGTCAGGCCGCCACCGCACAAAGAAACACAGCCCTTAACATAAACCTGAATAAATAATCGCATTCTCTAGATACAGGGGAAAAGCAGCAGGTAAAAACTAAAACCAAAACCAAATAAACAAAAAAAGCCAGCAGAAAAACTGACCCAGGAGAAAAGGTAATTCAGGCAACAGAAAACTTACCTTTTAAAACCCTAATCAGTATCCTCTAGACTAGAGACTGAAGGGACTGCTGGAACATAAAGCATGAAAGAAGCAGTCACAGAACAAGAGTGTGGGCTTAGAAATTAAATAAAAATATGATTAATGACAAAACACTGTGGGATGGGCTGGATAGTGCTTTGCATGTGCATAAAAGCATGGATGTTTATCTGGATAATAAGGAAATCTCCTAAAATGAATGGCAGGGACTTCCCTGGTGGCGCCGTGGTTAAGAATCCGCCTGCCAATGCAGGGGACACGGGTTCGAGCCCTGGTCCAGGAAGATCCCACATGCTGAGAAGCAGCTAAGCCCGTGCACCACAACTACCGAGACTGCGCTCTAGAGCCCGCGAGCCACAACTGCTGAGCCCGCATGCCGCAACTACCAAAGCCCGCGTACCTAGAGCCCATGCTCTGCAACAAGAGAAGCCACTGCAATGAGAAGCCCGCAAACCGCAACGAAGAGTAGCCCCCACTCGCCACAACTAGAGAAAGCCCGCGCACAGCAACGAAGACCCAACACAGCCAAAAATAAATACATTTTTAAAAATAAATTAATTAAATTAAAATTTTAAAAGACTGATCAGATTTTCAAAAAGCCTTGGTGCCAGACTAAGGAGTTTCTCTCTCTCCTAGAAGGAACAGATAAAAAATAATAACTACATGTAACATTTTTTACCTCTTACTGCGTGCCACTATGATTGTAAGTCCTTTCCGTGTATTATTTCATTTGAACTTCACAATAATACTTACAAGTTGGGCATTGTGAGGACAGCAGAGACCTTATGGGACCTGCTCACTTCTGAGGGCCGTCTGGATCTGGGGCCGTGGAGGAGACGGGGACAGCGGGGCTGGGACAGGGGGACGGGGCAGGGGACCAGCCAGCGGACGAGCAGCTGCTGCCAGAGGGAGGTGGTGAGTGTCGGACGGAGAGGCCAGCTTCCAGTGACAAGTGCATCTCAGAAGGAGGCTCACTCCAACTCTGAGTCCCCTCGTGGTGAGGAGACGGCAGCAGGAGGGAGTCTACATTCTCAAAATGGTCATTTTGGTTATGTATATTTTACCACAATTTGAAAAACATTTGTACGTGAATCACTGTAGTCACTTTATTCACAACAGACCAAAAATGAAAACAACTCAATGTCTACGAAATGATGAACGGATAAATAAAGTGTGATATGTCTATACAATGGAATATTATGTGCCAACAAAAAGGAATTAAGTTCTGATTCATGCCACAGCATGCATGAACTTTGAAAAGATTACGTTAAGTGAAAAGAAGCCAGTCACAAGAGATCACATAGTATATGTTTCCCATTTATATGAAATGTCCAGAATAGGCAAGTCCACAGAGACAGAAGTAAATTAGTGGTTGCCTGTAGCTAGAGGTGGGGGAGGGAACGGGGAGTGGCTACCAATGGGTATGGGGTTTCTTTTGGGTGATGAGAATGCTGTAAATTGAAAAACTGATTGTGATAATGGTCACACAACTCTGAGAATGTATTAAGAACTACTGAATTGTACACTTTAAATAGGTGAATTGTATGGCATGTTAATTATATCTCAATAAAACTGCTATTTTTAAAACATAATGAGGAAAAAAATGTAGTGACATTAAAATGGCTGGATAGGTCTTTGGGGAAAAAATACTCCCAGTTTATACTATCTGAAATTAATTTTGATAGTTAAAATATTTAAACTTTCTTAAAAAGGAACTATAATGGTACTAAAGAAAAGACAGATTTTTAAAAAAATTATCTTAGGGAGTAAAGGTGTTCTCCCTAAGTACAACATAAAGCTCAGAGACTAAGAAGAAAAATACTGACATAGTTGTCTATATAAAAAATTAAAACTGCCATATTGAAAAATACTGCAAGCCAAGAGGCAAAAAGCATAAATACAAAATGTATTCACAATGAATATAAAAGGATAACACCTTTCACATATAAAGAACTTTTAAAAATGAGTCAGAAAAAAGCAAATTGAAAAAACCCAATGAAAATGTTCAACCCCATCCATAATTAAAACAAGAGACCATTTTGCAAATTACAGTTTAGTAAAGGTTAAAAACATTGATAACAACCAGTGTTAGCAAGGTCATAGGCAAGGGTAAAGCGATACAACCTTTTTGAAGGGTAATTTGGGAACATCAAAATTTTGAATGCACATACCCTTTGAACTGGAAATCGTGTCTCTAAAAAAATACAATTATAATTGCCCTTAGACAGGACTCTACTTGTGACTTCTTGTGCTCATGTCAGGACCTGTAGCTAACTCTCTCCTTCTTTACATTGCAGAGTATCCCATGACCCCGCCATACCTTATTTTTTATCTGACTATTCCTTTCCTGAAGTTCTCACCCGTAATTCCTGTCCATACGCACAGAGAACTCTCTGGAAGGAGACCGAGAAACGGTTACCAGTGTTCACTTCTAGAGAGGATGACTGCTGCATTTCTCTTCTGTTCTACCTAGAACAATGGGTATATGTCACTTTTTTTTTGGCCGTGCTCCACAGTATGTGGGATCTTAGCTCCCCGACCAGAAATCAAACCTGCAGCCCCTGCATTGGAAGCGTGGAGTCTTAACCACTGGACCACCAGGGAAGTCCCAGTTCTTAAAAAAAGGTTTTTAATGAAAAAGTCAATAGCCATACTTTATAACTGCACATTAGAAAATCTACAGGGTTTTTTCCTGGGAAGAATCGTGACGATATATGGAGAATCTATTAAATAGCATTTGAAGCAAATAAGGGACTAAGGAAAGACCAACATCTAACAAACGAAACAGCACAACGCCAGCCATGACCTCCGGACTCGAGCAGGTGCGGCTTCCTTACTCACCAATCGAATGTCGAAGCTTGCTGCACTGGCTGACGGGGGGCGGCTTCAGCATCTCCCTCCATTTTTTACTACGACCGCTTTTTTTGCCATATCCTCCTAAATTTGAAAAAAGCAAGGCATTTTTGTAACAATCAGAAACATCCATTTAAAAAAAATTATTTGTTCATTTTTGGCTGCCTTGGGTCTTCGTTGCTGCGCACGGGCTTTCTCTAGTTGTGGCGAGCGGGGGCTACTCTTTGCTGCGGTGCACAGGCTTCTTATTGCGGTGACTTCTCTTGCTGTGGAACACGGGCTCTAGGTGGGTGGGCTACGGCACATGAGCTCAGCAGTTGTGGCTCACGGGCTCTAGAGCTCAGGCTCAATAGCTGTGGCACACGGGCTCAGTTGCTCCGCGGCATGTGGGATCTTCTGGACCAGGACACGAACCCGTGTCCCCTGCATTGGCAGGCGGATTCCTAACCACTGCGCCACCAAGAAAGTCCCAGAAACATCCATTTCTGACAACTTCTTCCATTAATGTATTCTGTTTGAGTAGCTTGGGTACCTACGATGAGGGATCTGGAAGGCACCCTGATAAAGTGTGAAAATCCCACCGAGGCAATCAGTCACTGGCTCTGTCCTTTAGAAATCAGGTGACCTGGACCTTCGTAAGCAGCTCTGCTAAGCCTATATCCAAGTTTGTAAACCAGACCTAATATCATAAAGGGCTGCTTATAAATATTCATTCAACAATTATTTATTAAGCACCCACTATATACCAAACACCTTCAAAGTGCAGGAAATACAGTGGTTAAAAAAAGACCATTCTAGTGAGGGAGAGAGATTAAAAATCACTTAATGAAAGGCGATAAGAAAAAAATTAGCCAATCATATAGTGATAAACGGTGTGAAACAAAATCAAGCAAGGCACAGGCGCAGGGTGCTCTTTGGGCTGAGGTAGGACCAGGAGAGACCCCTCTGGAGGGTCACACTTAGGCAGAGACCTGGGATGTGAGTCTCGGGAAGGTCTGGGAGAAGAAGACTGTCCCTAGCGAGACAAGAATGGTGGGAAAAGCAATTAGACGATATTTTAGAAAGAGGTTTTTAAACAACTGACCTTAGAAAAAGTTGAACTCCGAGAAATTAGAACCTTCGATTTTAAGCATTCTGAGGAACTGAAGTTTTACTGAATTTTATCCAAGAGAAAACATACAGCTTTTTTGTTTTGTTTTGGTTTGGTTTTGTGATTTTTTTAAAATTAATTTTTATTGGAGTATAGTTGCTTTACAATGTTGTGTTAGTTTCTACTGCACAGAAAAGTGAATCAGCTATTTGTATACATGTATCCCCTCTTTTTTGGATTTCCTTCCTGAACCCTACTCAGAGCACTGAGTAGAGTTCCTTGTGCTATACAGTAGGTTCTCATTAGTTATCTAAAAACATCACAGTTTGGGCTGGTGACTAAAGCCTCCAGGACTATTGGGAGGAACAGGGAAATCAGGAGGAAGGTCCTGTTTCTCGGAAAAGTGATGCGCTCCCAGTTTGGAGAGGAAGACACCAGAAGATGGGGGGCTGTTTTAGGCTCAGGAGGGAAGGCCTGGCTGCAGACAGAGATTTGACAGTGGCTGCCTAGTGGGTGCAGGTGGGAGACACGGGGCCTTCCTCCTCAGCCTTCCTTTCTGCTCCACTACTCCCCCCATTTCAACTGAGATCGTGAGCCCTGGACTTGCACCCACTCTCCGGACGTCCCAGAGCACCTCAAGGTCAGCTTCAAATTAGGCTCATCACCCCCTGCAATCCAGTCCTCTTTCCACACTGAGATTCCTGCCAACAGCTACCGTCTACCAGGCCAAGGAAGCAGGAAACTGGGGCACCATCTAACTCTGTCTGCTAAGCACCGCAGTCAGTCACTCAGGAGGGGTGCACTGCTGCGGTCCCACGTGCAGGGCCCTGTCGGGCACCAGGCACACCGTGCAGAATCACGGAGGCCAGCCCGGCCTTCAGAGGCGCTCCTCCCCGCCCCCCCCCCCCCCCCCCCCGCCCTCTCTACTGTCCTTTCACGCCAGGGCCACCACTCTCCTCCACCTCCCTTCTAACTGGCCTTCCGACCTCTTCCTCCCTTCCAGACCCTCCCCACTGCCTCTCAGGGTCACCTTCCTAACATGCAAATACAAGCTCACTTCTCCACCACCTACAGACCCTGAAGGTGTCGCGGAGTCTGAGGATGAAGTGAGAACAGAGCGCAGCCCTGCCTGACACCATCCACAGGCACACCGTGCCCAAGCCATGCCACTTACAAAATCTCCACTCGGCTCAAGCAGGACCCCCTCCAGGAAGCCCGCCCTGATTGTCCGAGGGAGAGGCAAGCCTCTCGAGGGCTGAAAGGAGGAGGAGAGTTAGGACAGGTCCACAATACCCTCACCTCTCTAGGACCTTCCCACCTATGGACTCGTTCAATCGCCCCCTCGGATGTAGGTACTGCTACTAGTTAGTCCCTTTTCTCACATAAGGGACCCAAGCTAAGAGTAAATAGCTTGCCACTGTCACATAGCTGGCGAGAGATGAACCAAGACACACTCAGGCCTGCCTGACTCCAGGAATCCCGCCAAAACAGTACTGTCTATTATGAAGCAGTAAGCTGCAACCAAAGCGGTTTTGTTTTTGTTTTTTTCTTTTGAAGTGCAAAAGCATCTAAACTAAAGATTTGCCATGAACACGTTTAGAAATTAAGGTATGTTGGGACTTCCCTGGTGGTCCAGTGGTAAAGAATCTGCCTTCCAATGCAGGCGACGCGGGTTCGATCCCTGGTCAGGGAACTAAGATCCCACATGCAGTGGGGCAACTAAGCCCACACGCCACAACTACTGAGCTTGCGCGCGCCTCAACTAGAGAGAGAAAACCCACGCACCAACTCAACTAGAGAGAAGCCCGTGCGCTGCAACGGAAGATCCCGCGTGCCGCAACTAAGACCCGACGCAGCCAAATAAATAAATAAATGTTAAAAAGCAAAAAAGAAATTAAGGTATGTGTGAAATGAAAATAAGAGTAAACCAAAACTCCCAAGATGTCAGAAATGGTTATGGTGATGGCCATAATAACGGGTAGCCCTTATTAGCATTTACTAAAAGCCAGATACTTTTCTAGAAGTTTCACAAGTCTACTCTCACTAAATCTTCCCATCAGCCCTACAAGGCGAGTACCGTTGCTGAGCGCTTGTTATAATCCTCATTTTACAGGTGTCGAAACGAGGGCACAGATGTGTGGAATAATCGGCCCAAAGCTTTACAGCCAGTAAGCAGGGACGCTGGGATTTGAACCCAAGTAACCGCCCTGGACAGATGGGGACGCCACCTTTGTCACAGCAGCTGTTTTCTATCAAGAACCAGGACTGCCAAGATAAATGCGCAATGTGAGGAAGAGCCGGTCCCAGTGGGTCCTGGATATTGAGGGGCTTGTGACGTGGTTTTATACCTTGAATGCCATGATTATTTTTATAACATATTTTGTGACGTTACACACCATCCAACTACAATCATGAATTTAGTGTGTATTATTCCAATCCATTTGTAAATATCTGTGTGTGTGTGTGTGTGTAGCCATGAACAATACTGTATTGTTTTAAAACAAGATTCTTAAACTGGGATCCACAGCAGATATCGGGGTGTCCCTGAATTCAAACTGGAAAAAGAAATCATCTTTATTTTCACAAACATCCAAGCAAAATTCATCACTTCCTTCGGCTATAAATATAGACAAAAGTACAATCATATTAGCAGTGCCTGTGACTTTATCACCAGAATTCAGATTTTCACGTCACATCATCGTTATTAGAGGTAACTCAAAATATCTTGTATCTCAAACGACTTTGAAATTACAGTATAGGTGCCAGGCCAGCAGCCAGACTGTCTACAAGCACTCATGCGACACGGCCAACCGACTCGTAGGCAGCTCTGTGCCGGGCAGTTAATCGTTCAGACTGCGAGTGGCCAGGTCCCAAGTTCTCACATGGGTGGTCTAGCTATGTACTTTACTCTCTACAATTCCCTACAACTGTATTGATCAACACACGTAAGGTGGTAAGTCAAAGGCCATCCCTCAGTTTACAATCCCCGTTTGAGCTGATCAACAAGAGCCCTCACGCTGACAGATCTTTAAAAGATGACACCTTAACTTGCCTATGTTTTACCTGTATTGCCTTGTCACTTAATGCTCCAATAACAAAGCACATATTGTAACACGAATCCATTAAAAATTTTATAATTATTTTAATATAATTGGCTTCCTTTACAACTGTAGGTAATTAATTTTATTTAGATTAAGAAGCCCTATTCTAGAGGTTGTTAGATTAACAGGAATGGTGTGTTACTGCATACGTCACTCTACAATTTAATATTTTTTCAAGCAACTCGGTCCATTTTGACACAACTGGCTTACTCTGTCCCAGTCTGTTCCTCCTCGACCCCCAGCCTCAGGCCTTTATTCCTGGTCACCCCACCTAAACTGTCATGCCCCACCTCATGTCCAACCCTTAGCATCTCCCTTCTCTGCTTCACTATTTCTTCTTAGCCCTTAACACTATCTACTACACAATCTATTTTACGTACCTTGTTGAGGACCTGTCTCCCCACTAGACTATAAACTCCTTGAAGAGAGGGGTTTTACCTGTGTTATTCGTAACTGTACCCCCGATATCTAGATGAGTATCTGGCATAAAATAACCACTCAGTAAACATTTGTTGAATGAGTAAATGAATTTGTCTTCATTACTGTACAGCAAGTTACTGTATGAACATCCACCCAATGTGAGAAAACAGTTACAAACCATACATCTGGTAAGGGATTATTATCCAGAATATATAGAGAACTAAAATTCTACAACAACAACAAAAGGCAACCAATTCAAAAATGCACAAAGGAGTTCAACAGACATTTATTCAAAGAAGATATGTAAATGGCCAATAGGCACATGAGGAGATGCTTAACATCAATGATCATTACAGAAACGCATATCAAACGTTGTACCACCTCATACCCATGGAGAGGCTAAATCAAAAAAAAACAGAAAATAGCAAGGGTTGATGAGTGTGTGGAGAAATTTGAACCCTTATGCACTGTTG